ATGCTTTCGGCACCGCGCATCGTGCACATTCCAGCATGATGGGATTATTAATACAAATTATAAATTCGTGCAAATTCATTAACTTGAAACGATTTCAGGTGACGGTTTCGATGTTCGCGCCGCCGGTTTCCTGCTGAAGAAGGAACTTCAATACTTCGCCAAAGCCTTGGACAATCCTGAAGCTCCGTTTTTGGCCATTCTTGGTGGTGCTAAAGTCGCAGACAAGATCCAACTGATCGAAAACCTTCTCGATAAGGTCAACGAGATGATCATCGGCGGAGGAATGAGCTACACCTTCTTGAAGGAATCCAGAGGAATGAAGGTAATATAGAGTTTAATTTTTTACAGAATAACAAAACGGATGACTTGTGGTTTAATATTTTATTGCCGCAATTTCACTATTGACAGAGGGTTAAAGTACACATTGAATTTAAGCGCAGCCCAGCTTTAAGTTGAGACCGCTGAAGACCAGCGCGAAGATCACCGCGTAAACGCAAATGAGAAACCAGAGATGCTTCAAATCGTTTCTGTTCAACGTCGAACCGCGACAACAAGAAACGACCTCGTCTCGTCTATTTTCTTGGGCTTCGCCTAAGCGAAACACCAGATTCGAATCCAGAGGCTCCACGGTGGCGGTATCTCTGTAGGCGAAGCTCTGCAGATTGGGAAACGTCACCGTTTCGATGGTGTGCGTGATCACTTCTTCGTTCTTCATCTCCGCGACACCGGTGAGCACCAACTCGGTTGCGGACCACTGCTTCTTCGTATCGCACGTCGGTCCAAAGTACTGCGCGAAACTCCTCACGCTCACCACACCTCTGATCGTGGCCACGTGCTTGATGCTGTGCGAAATCGCCGCGTACTTCGTCTTGCACACGTCCAGCATCTCGATCAAATCTTCCGTCTGCTGCTGCTGCTTAACCACCGGCGGAATATCCTGTATCTGCTTGATCACCTGATCCATCTCCAAGCAAAACTTCTTCGTCTCTTCGCCCAACTGCTTCTCCAGATCCTCGATGTTCTTTTTCGCCGCCAACTTATCGACGACGCACTCCTCGTCAATCTCCAACAGACTCGTCGCGACTTCGGCGTCGCGCTTGAATCGACGCGACACCTTCGCGTCGACAGCCTTATTGTCGGTCAACGCTTTCGGCGGCCTCTTCACCTCCAACCACAGACCGACATCGTTTCGCATCCCCTTCGCGTCCAACACTTGCCCGGCCGTCTGCGGCCTCTCCGGCAAAGCGTACGACAACTTATCCAACCCCTTTATCGACTTCACCTTCTCCATCTTCCTTCTGCTGCTCTTCGGCTCGAGCTTGATCTTCGGCTCTTGCGGTTTAATCTCGTACTCCATTCTCTTGCGACGCTCGGCCTTGTGCTGCGTCACAAACTGCTCCAGATCCCTGTTGTTCCACGCATTATCGTCCTTTCGCTCCTCCTCCTCATCATCCTCCACCTTCCTAATCTCCACATCCGGACCCTTCCTCTTGTACTCGTAATGGAACTCCTGCCGTATCTTATGTATCTTCTCTTTAGACCCCGAATTCACCGTCAAATCTTTGGCGAAGTGCCTGTACTGCTTCGAATCGCTGCTCTTGTTCTTGGCGTTTTCGTAATCCACGATAGCCGGATTCTTGATGAACGTGTAGTTTTTGCTCTTGCGCTCCTCCTGGTCCTTCGCCTTGTTCTCGAGATCACCGATCGAGGGATTCTCAAGGGATTGCCATTTGCTCAAGATGCGCTTCGCCACCTCATCCGCTGCCTTCTTCTTCGGCTCCTCTTGGTGGTGTTGGTGATGCTGATGCTGCTTCGGCGCACCCTTACTTTCCAGCAGATTCAGGGACGTGCTCTTCGGAGTGCTTTTGGCTGGAATCGAGTGCTTCGACGAGATCTGCGTCGAAGCTTTAGGATCGCGCTTCTTGTGTTTAGGCTGAACTCTCTCATCGATCTCCTGATCAGATTGCAAGTGACTCGCGACGGTCGTCGTCGTCGTGCTCGTCAATTCCATGTCGATCTTCGACGAATTCACTTCCTTCTCCAACTTATTGATCGCTTTCATCGTCGGCGTCGATTTTCGTTGCTCTTCGTTAGCAAATGGAACAATCTTCGCTTTCGTCTTCTTCGGACTGCTCTTTTTCCTTGTGGACGGACCTGGAAACATCGGATCGACGACATTCGCCTTATCCGGATTCACGATGAACGAAATCAATTGCTGATTATCACTCTTCTTTCCGTTCACCGTGGATCGAGGACTCGTCGATTTTTTCGACTGAAAAATCATCAATTTTACAATAGCGAAGAATCAATTAAACAAATATATATATTACTGATCTTTCGTAGCTCATCATCTTCTGCACGAGCATCGTCCCTTTAGCACCTTCCTCCGGTTTAGACACCTTACTGCTTTGTGCAACATCCATGGACATCTTTCTTCCTTTGATGGTTTCCACCACGTTCCTGGGAATTTCGTTGGGAATTGTCAGGGTCATTATCGTTGCCGGCTCTGTGTTGCCGTTCTTGCTTGCACTCGAATCCACATCGAAGATGTACGGTTTGAGGAAATCCCCGGCTTTCGTTGCGTCCGTGAAGATACATTTCTGCTTCCTCTCGACATCTTTCAGTTTAGTCGCTGAAGCTTTAAACATTAAAGTTTAAATTATAAAAATCACAGTGTTATCACTGTTAAAAATACCTTTGTACAAGTTATTAGGAAGATGCGGTGAAATATCCTTATCGAATTGTACCAGAACCGGCATCACGACGTAACTCCTTTTGATGTTCGGTGGATCGAGCATGTACTTCTTCAGGCGTTTCCTACCTTCCTTCGAGGCGAGATTCCTGTACGATCGGTAATCGTTCAGCTCGATGATGTTGCTGCTGTTCTTCTGCACGTCGAGCGCCTCGCTTTGCACCTGCTTCGGATCCTCCTCCTCGGGGATGTCGTCGATGGCGAAACGACTACTCCTTATCGGACGCGACAGATTTCGACGCTTGTGACGTTGCTTCCTGCCGCTCTTGTGCGACGACTGCGCGTTCACGTTGATCAACATCTCCAAAGCTTTAAAATCGTCGTTCACCAGCTTGTACAGAAGACTCTCTTCCACTTCGGGGTCCACCTGGAAGATGTTGTCTTTGCGCGGATACTCTGCATTCAACGGTTCCAAATCCTGCAATTGAATCCAATTAAATTGATTGGGAAATTGTAAAAGAAAACTTTATACCTTCAAAGTGACATCATCCAAGATTGTACTTGCAGCGAACGGTGAATTCTGCTTGAGCTCGTACCTCGGCTGCTTCTGGGTGTGCATGATCACGCTCACAGGCTCATCGTTGCGTTCCGTGACCATCCTTACGCTATTGTTAACTGAAGAAGAAAACGTTTTTCTTTAACACCAAACTATGCATTTCTTATCGACCAACCGTCGTGAGGTTTTCCTTTAGGTTCGTGGAAGTTCTCCCTCGCAAACTTCCTCGTCAACTTCGTGTTCCTCGGCGAGGGCAACCTCTTCGACGAGGTGCTCGTCAGACGGCCGTCGCTGCTCTCCACGCTGATCTTCGGCCCGAACCAGTGGAAATCGTTGAACCTCTCATTGCCATAACACTCCGCCACCTGCTGCCCCTTCTTCACCATCAACTCTCGCTGCTTCTTCGCGTTCAACCATCTCCTTCGCTTCTGCGACGCGAACTCCCTGCGCAACAACTTCAGCTGCTCCTCGCAGGACGCCTTCTCCGCAGCGGTCAGCGATTTAGCGCGAAGCTTCTTGTAACTCTCGCGAATCTTCTGCATCACCGATCTCTCCTTCCTCATGCAACAACTTGAATAGGCAAAAAAAACCCTTTAGATCATACAATCGAATTACAAATCGAAACTCACTCGATGCTGGTGAAGTTATCGCGCTTCGAGCTCGTCGTGTAAAACGATATAGTAGATTCTGTCTTCTTCTGCTGCTGCTGCTGACTCTTCGCAGCGTTACCGTTGAAAATCTTCTGCGCCTTCTTCACAGCTTCCTGCGCATCCTTAGAAGCCTCCACCGCTTCTTTCAATAAACTTCGCTCCTGCGGTTTGTACTCGATAACCGCCAACAACTTCGATATCGAATCGAATCGAATAAACAAGATTTATAAAAACGAACACTTCGACGACACTTACCGGATCATCGTCATCGGATTTCTCCTCGATCTGCATCCTCTTCGCCGTGTACTTTTGATTCTCCAACTCGTAAACGCAATTCCTCACTTTCAGACTGATATTGTCCAGACGCTCGATGCTGTGCCTGAGGATTTCGCTCATGTCGTTGGTGAATCTAGTGAGCGTGTGATTCGCAGTTTTGCTGTACTGTTTGTAAGCGGCTATCGATTCGTTCTTCCTAATCTGAAAATTACATTTTCAATACGACTAAATAAGAAAAAGAGAGAAAATAATTACCGTCTTGCAATCTTCGTTCACTTTACAATTTTCCATTTTCTCTCTCTGAATTGGTGTTTTTTTTCGATATTTTTCTTTCTTAAATTGAATTTCTTTTCGTCGCCTTTAGAATTTGTGTTCAAAACCAGAGAAACATCGTGTCGCGATGACCATCACCAATCGCACGCAATTACGCTCGTGTTCGTTATTTTTTTTCTTTCCAATTGAAAATTAGTCGTGTACTGAATTTGGATTTTGACGAGTGAAAAGTCACATTTCGAAACGAGTCGACTTGATCAAGTTTTGCGAGTGTTTATAATAACTTTCCATGCTTTTGTTTCTTCGCAGATTGGTGATTCTTTGTACGACGCCGAAGGTGCTAAGATCGTGCAGAAGCTTCTGGACAAGGCGAAGGCCAACAACGTGAAGATCCATTTACCTGTGGACTTTAAAACGGCCGATAAATTCGATGAAAACGCGACGGTAAGTGAAATTTAAGAGTTTCATCAATTTCATCATTTTCATTCAACAGGTTGGTGAGGCCGAAGTTGAAACTGGAATTGCCGATGGAACAATGGGATTGGATATTGGACCGAAGAGCATTGAACTGTTCAAAGAACCCATCGCCAGGGCCAAAGTCATCGTTTGGAATGGGTCAGTATAGTAATTACAATTTAAACTTTACTTACGAAATGAGATGGTTTTTTTTCCAAATTGAAGACCCGCCGGTGTCTTCGAATTTGAGAACTTCTCGAAAGGCACCAGAGGTTTAATGGACGGAGTTGTGGACGCGACCAAGAGAGGGTGCGTCACCATCATCGGAGGTGGAGACACAGCCACCTGCGCAGCGAAATGGGGCACAGAAGACAAAGTCTCCCATGTCTCTACAGGAGGTGGCGCCAGTTTGGAGTTGTTGGAAGGTATGGATTATCTTTTGGTTTCAATTAATCTCCTAAATCCTTCAATTTACAGGTAAAGTTCTTCCTGGCGTAGCAGCTTTATCAGACGCATAATATATTATACTGTGTCCATATGATATTTAAAACTACCGATTTCCATAAAAATCGATAATCCTTAGTGTCTCTTTATTGTCTTTTTTTTTTAAACTTAATAAATTGTAATAATTTAAATATATTTTAGAACAATTTTTTTTTTCTAAAACGTCAAATGTCAACGTTTCAGAGGTCCTCAAAATGTTCCATTCATTCATTCATTTTTTTTTATCAGTCTTTAATTATATATTATTTTTTTTTTATTTAACAAAAGATATTTACAAACGTATCAACCAATAGATAAAATATATACAATTCCCTGTTTTCTCATTTCCACGTTGCAACCATCCACCAACAATTAATTTTTTTTTTATTAACAAGAGTTTCGTAACACAGCGTACAAGAAACTGACTAAATACACATTTGAGCTCATTATAAACAAAAATCGGGTATAAAAATCACCATAGAAATATCACTTAACTACAATTATTTACATTTAAAACAATCGACGGCACCGAAACAAAAGTTGCTGTTGTTGTAAATTAATGATTAATTTAAATTTTATTTGTAAAATAAATATACAAAAAATTTAAATTAATCATGAATCAAGTCTTGTCGCGGCACCTTTACGTATACAAATCTTAAGGCTAAATTATCATATGATTTAGGCACGGATTCTCTGAAAAAAAAGTTGTTTTCTTTTACATTTCCTTTTAGTATCTCAGTCATTTCTAAAATAATTTGTAATCAATTCGCCGCACCATCTTATAATAAAAACTAGTCAATTTTTATTGCTTCGCTGTAACTATAGTTGCATGTATCAAAACAACCAAAGTGTAAGTGTGGTTGCATGCATAAAAACATATATTTTCGATGCGCGATTAATCTACATACTTTTGGTAACTGTTATGGCAGGCTTTCAAAACGAAAGCTACGTGATGGATGATGTGACGGTGCGTGGAGGCACCATTAAACAGAGTGCAAGAAACCTTCCCGTTCTTTGACGTTCGCCAAAGATATCCGATTGTCGAAGAAGGGAACGCGATTCAGATTAGCTTTGGCCGTTTCCTTGCCAAATTTGAGGACGTACAGAGCCGCGACGAAGAACAGAGCGCCAATGAGGATTGTCTGGAGCGGCGTTAAAAGCACCGTCACGATGTAAAGGAATACGCGGATATTCGACGGTATTCCAATTTGATGCTGGAAAAAAAAAATAAGTGACAAATTCCAATTTGTTATTGGTGTTAAAACTCACGTATTCCAACCAGAACATAGGAAGGACAGTTTCGCTAAACTTGCTGATATCCTTACCGAAACCTGACATCTTGTGCATGATCAGATTTGATTGAGATCGTGCCACCTGCTCAAGAGGAACGCCCGAATACTGAAGATGAACAATGATTAAATTGATATAATCGTCTTGGTAATAATTTAGACTTACAGGCTCTGCGATTACGAAGGATTCATGAAGACTTTCATTTGGTGTTAGACCGGTCACATAATGCTTGATGATGTCGTCGCCGTGCAGGAAATGCGGAAAGCTGGCAGCCAGAGGAACTTCTGTGTATACAAAAGAAGAATAATTAGAATTCGAATCAAAATAATTGGAGTTTTAAAACTAACGGAAGAAGCAAGCGGAGAGATCTGTTAGTCCGTTCGGTAGACTGTATGTGCCCTTGTAGCAATCGTCTTCGGGAGGGTAAGTCCTGTTGAAGGTTGATGCAGGCACCACGTACCTATAGGCAGCCAAACCTTCACGAACAACGTCACCTGAAAAACGAAATATTTAAAGAAGTTCTAGTTATTTCAAATTCAAATTTAAACTCACTTTCGTAGTTCAATTCCATCACTTTGCAGATAGTTTTCCGCCAATAGCGGAGCACCGATTTCTTGGTCAGATATTGGCTGTAAGTAACTCCCTCTGTGGAATTGACTAATGTATCTTTGCACTTCTTGTAGTTGGGAAGGTATTCGGAACCGCTGAATTTGTCGATTAACGAGAACCTCTCGTGTCCCGATTCCGATCCGTAGTACATCGTCACGACGTCAGCAAAGTTCTCGTACACCTAATACAAATTAAACACTTTATTTGATTTAATTATTAATAAGTTATTAATTATTTACCCTGGACAAAACGCCGATATTGCTGACGGGAACCAAACTTGGGACGATTTCGTTCGCCAACTTCATGATCGGATCGGAGAAGTTCCAGAGGAAATCTCGAACGGTCACGTTGACGAAGACTTTAGAGCCCAGACGCAGTTTCAACATGTTCATAGCAAACTTCGTGAAAATCGGAGCGTCGTGTAAATAGGAAAGTATACTCTGAAAAGGAAATTGAAATTTTTTTTGTTTAGTTCGTGCATGGATTGTAGATGGCGCAACGATTAAGTTTGATTTACTTACGAGTAAAGGGTAGTTGGGAACTGTGATGTAATCATCTAGGTCGATGGTGTTGAGTTCGGGTAGGTATTCGGTCGTGTGGTTGGCAACGTAGGTGATGGTGCTGTTATCGTTGAACGTGACGTTGGTATGTCTGAGGTACTCCCTGAAAACAATTGAAATGAATAAACGAATAATTACGTTAGCAGTATTATTTACATGTAGACTATGGGACCTAAATCCACCACGTTCAGTTTCTCGTCGATTCCGGCGAACCATGCCTCCGTATTAGTGTAATTGAAGACGTGTGCTTTCAGATACAACAGTTCCGGTGGACTCTTCCACCAAATGTACGCAGGCAAACCTGTAGCAAGTTCAAATTAAAACGAATGCTAACGTAACGTGAAAAACTGTAACTCACTAGTGTGCATTCTGATTCTTTCATCTAGGATCAACGTGAACGGCGTCCAGATCAACAGGATCACCCCGAAGCAGGCGTAGATCAGCCCTTTTAACAGCAACGTCGGCGGACCTGAAAATTAAAAGCAAAAAAATGCATTCAGAATTCGGAAGAAAGCGAAAGTCGCGTGTATGTGTATGTGAAAAACTGCGGAGGACGCGCGAGTCGTCACGGATTTGCACATTGCGAACTTGAACTCATTGTGATCAAGAGCTCTTCGGGGGAGAATTGGCACGGTTTTTACAGTTTGCGTAACAGCGAAGAAGAAGAAGTAGAGAGAGAGAGAGGATAGGAACTATTAAGTACATGGTCTCACTACTATTTTGACCTGACTGACATCTATCATTGATTAGAACGTATTGGAATCGTTTTTGGGAAATGCAACCGCGTTCACATAACTATACAATAATTAATTTGCATTTAATATTAAATAAACAAACAAAAACAAAAATCTGATTTTACAAGAAATATTCATATAATTAAAGCCACCAGTTTTTTTTTTGTTCGTTTAAATTAGTCAAGCAAAGAACAAACTTAATGGGAAAGTTGTTTCACATTTAATTGCATACATGTTTTAAAATATATTCCTAGATTAAAAGGAAGAGAAAAAGAGTTATGGGTAATGTTTTCTCATATAAATGTCAACGGTATGCTAAAATATTGAGGAAAAGAACATATTCAGACATGTTTGTCATGTAATCATAATTATGTTTATTACTGACATTTGTAATACCTGTCAGATGTTTGACAACTGCTGAAATAAGTAACACCTATGAGAGGAATGTCACCTATGATAGATGTCATCTACAAAAACAAATTATAGTTGTCAGATAAGGATAGAGTAAATGTGACATCTGTCAAACAGTTCTTTTTCTGTTAAACAATTAATCGCGTATGCATGTGGCTACAGATGAAGACAATTAATTCTATTAACAGCCGGAGATGTTAGGAAACCGAAGATGTTAATTGGTATTCGGTGGAGGAGAGGAGGAGGAGGTACGTTCGTCGCGTGTTTATAGACGGTTTATCTCTCGTTTCGGGCGTATTATGATGGGCAATTATATCCAGAGGACAGTGATGATGATGAATGTCGTATTCTTCGCGCGCACTCGACTTCTGCACTTTGCAGCAGTCGAAGGATATGCGTCCCGCAAATGGGAATGCAAACAAAAGCGCATCGCAATCCGACAACGCCAAAAGTGGATTAGCCAGAGGGATCAAGCGAGCGTTTTATAAATCGTAGCACGTCGTTCACGTGAGCGCGCCTCACCTGAATTCGATTTAGAAACGTGCTGGATTTGCTGAAAAAAACCTTGAAAAGTTTTGAAACTTTCAGATAAACGTCAAATTGACGTACATTTGTAATAACTGTCAGATGTTTGACATCTGCTGAAAAAAATGATGAGATGAATGTCATCTATTGACGTTTCAAAAGATTTAGAGAAAAAATTCCTTAATTTTTGTTGTAGTTGTTAATAGATAAATTTGAATACTCACCGACTTTCTTCTTGGTGGTTAAATCCAAATTGGGGCCGTGCTTTATCACCATAATGAAGAGATCCTTCGCGCCTCGACCGGTGACGATCTGCAAATAAATATTGCATGAAAAAAAATAAAATGTAAATAAATCAACAGAACAAGACAATTATGAAGTTAATTAAAGCGCGGCGCACTAATTGTGCGGCAATCGAGTTGCATAATAAATACAGAAGTGGAAAAGTACGGACGAAGGGAGAGTAAACAAGCGACGTTGTTTGTTTGTTGTTGTTTTTTTCTCTTTTTTGCGGAATTCCTCATTGAAATGAAATACTACAATTTTCTGCAGAATTGGATCGGTCGAGGTTTGACGACGACGACGATTTGTTGCGACACGAACGTTGCGATTTCCATTTCGCGAATGGGAAGGAAAAATATAATAATTCAAGGTGAGTCTCAGGTGAGATAAGATGCATTAATTGAATGGTGATGTGCGTATGGAAATAATAATAATAATAACAAAAAAAAATATATAAATAGGAGGCGGCGGCGGCGACGTGCGTTGTTGCGCAATTGTGATGATTCCGAGGACGACGACCTCAAAAAAAAAAAACACAAACGCAACGTCTTCGCGAAAATTCGAAATTACCGCGTAATTTACCTGCGCTCTCAACACCATCTCTCGGCAATCACGGAAATAGATGATTACGTCCTTTCTGCGTGGTACGTGCGAAGGGATTCATCGTCCGACGACGAATTCCTTCCCACCGTCTCTCTCCGATTTAGGACAATGCTTTTGACCTCACGGTTCATCTTTGGCTCACATCCAATTTAACTTGATCGATTTCAACGCAACTCACAAACTCTTCGCAAACGCGTTCATCTTCAACTACACAATTTGACGTTTGTTTGAACGGATGACAGAAGTCAGATTTATTATACAAGGCCTACTTAGATACAAAAAAAATAGCATTGTGACAAGTGTTCTCTTTTTTTTCACTGGAATGTATGATTTAGAAAAAAAAAAACAGTTAATTATGAAAAGTATATGAAATTTGCAACATTTTATTACAAATTATCATTTATTTAAATTTAACATTTAAATCATTAACATTTAACAAGAAAAACAATAATGCCACAATTATGCAAAAAATTGAAATTTACGGTAATTTTTGAATATTTGAACTTTACAGTGAATTTTAGATAATTGAAATTTACGGTATTTCCTGAAAATTTGAAATTTACGACAATTTTTCAAATAGATTTTATTGATTATCTGCGAAACTATAATAGATAGGATAGATCCAAAGGATGCATATGAAAGCTGGATGTTTGAGGAATATAGGGAGTATTCATATATTGTTGTGGTTTCATCGGTTTGGCTGTAATTCGCGGTTTAAAGTTGAAAAAATAAAAAATTAAATGTTTTCATATATGTATATGTAATGTTTATTACTGACATTTGTAATACCTGTCAGATGTTTGACAACTGCTGAAATAAGTAACACCTATGAGGGGAATGCCACCTATGATGTAATTTTTGTATATTTGAAATTTACGGTATTTCTTGAAAATTTGAAATTTACGATAAATTTTTCAAATACATTTTATTGATTATCTTAGAAACTATAATAGATAGGATAGATCCAAAGGATGCATATGAAAGCTGGATGTTTGAGGAATATAGGGAGTATTCACATATTGTTGTGGTTTCATCGGTTTGGCTGTAATTCGTGTTTAAAGTTGAAAAAATAAAAAATTAAGTTTATGTTTTCACATTTTATTGATTTTCTCGGAAACTATAAAATGTAAAATTGATCCAAAGTATGCATATGAAAGCTGAATGTTTGGTGAATCTAGCAAGTATTGATATATTACTGTGGTTTTAGCCGTTTGGCTGTAATTCGTGTTCAAAATTTAAAAAAAGCTCGAAAAAGCAGTGTTTTTACATT